TATATATATATATTATTTTTAAACGGTCTCAAAGACGCAATTTTTTTTAGCTGAATTTTAAACTTTAAATTTAGGATTGCATAACTAAAGATATTTATTTTTAAAAAAATTGAACCACACATTACAGTATTTTTATTAGCATTATTGAGTTTAGATAAATCACATCGAAATAAGCTGATAACTTTCTGAAGCACTTGTGTCAACAATTCGAATTGTTCTCAGAGAGTTGGAGAAAATGGCGGCAAACATGACGGACGGGTCTTGAGTTCTTTTGAACAAGCTATATAAAAGAAATCTAATTTCGTTTTATTCCCTGCTGTTAACGAAATAAAAAGGCTTAGAAATACGGAGAACACTACATAAAAGAATAAATTTACATTTTGCATTTTCTTTTTTTTCCTGTTTCCCATTTCATGATTAAGTAAATGGCCAAAAGTGTCATTCACATTTATCTATTGGTTAGAATGACAAATATTTAATGAAGCTCCGAGTCAACGACTAAGTCAAGCGGGAAAAAAAAGAACTTTCCTCTTTTATTCTTTTGTAATAAAGTTTTATTTAGTTACAGTTTCATTTAAACCGTACATAATTGTTGTTTGAAGTTTTTAAATTCTGCAAAAAATCTATAAAATGACTAAAATTTCGTAGAAGATCAAAAAGAATTTTTCATTAAATAGAAACGTTTTCATTTCTGCATTCTCCTTCTATTTTGATACAATTCATTTTAAATAAAATGAATAATGGAAAGCACAAAATTCTTTTCGAACATAAAAGTAATCTCAAACGATTTTTGAAAGTTTCTAATATGTCAATTTGGGGTGTTTTTCTACATTCTTAGAGATAGGCTGCTGAGGAGTTTAAAAAATATACTTTTAAAAAAATAAGGAAAGAAAAGTCTCCATAAATCATCAAAAAATACCTTAAAAAATAATTTTCCGTATTTTTCGTAAGCATTTTTTTTTAAACTTCAAATTTAAAAAAAATTACAAATGTGTATTTATAAATTAATTAAATATAATTTGGTAGTCAAAAATTAGCAATTTATAAATTAAGAAAAAGGAAAATATATACCTGACAAAGATAAGTATGGATTTATTAATTTTAATTAAAATATAGGGGTGGCGAACCAATGGCACGCGTGCCATTTATGGCACGCGACACACTATTCCAGGCACGCCACCGATGACAAAGTTCACGTGAAGCGTATTAAAAATTAAAATAAATTCACAAAAAACAAACAAAATAAATGAACAGTTATTAACAAAAAAATTAACAATTAATGCCAAAAAAACAATTTATGACCATAAAAACCAAGCTAACAATAAATAACCGGCAAAAAAAAAAATTCAGCAGTCCTGCTTAAACTAACATCTTACAACCTAATATAAGTTATTTGTCATCTAATTAGCAGCAACAGAAGTCACACTGATGTTACTTTAAGTCGAATAACGCTGATAACTGACACATTGCAAAATGTTTTTTTTTCTTCATAGTTTTGAGTCGATAGTATTTATTATTATTATTTTCCCAACAATCACGAAGTCAAAATTATTTGACGGCACGTCTATGGCTTCATTAAACAATTTTTTGAAAAAATGGTGCGTTGGTGCATAAAGGTTCGCCACCCCTGTCCCAGAACATCCGAAATGTATTGCATCGAATGTTTTTAGATTTTCATAAAATAAATNCAAAATTATTTGACGGCACGTCTATGACTTCATTAAACAATTTTTTGAAAAAATGGTACGTTGGTGCATAAAGGTTTGCCACCCCTGTCCCAGAACATCCGAAATGTATTGCATCGAATGTTTTTAGATTTTCATAAAATAAATACATTTCCAACTTTAATGAGTTAGTTTCTAATTTTATTAATTAGTTTAATTTAGATACCAGCAATTATCTTTTTTAATAAGTGACTTGTCGTAAAATGGAATAAGAACTTCATATAAATTAAAATGCCTACTAGGTGCACATTCTAGAACAGTGGTTACCAACTGGCGCCCCGTGGGCCTCATCCGGCCCGCGAAGCCTTTTTTATGCCCCCAAACCAAAATACATTAGTTGTCATTTCTTTGCGGACAATTTTCATAGAAAATCTACATGACTTTTAAATAGTTTTAAATTTTATATCATAACAATTTGATATCAGTTGCAAATTAATTGTTTAATACATAGGTAGGCATTAAAGTTATTGCAGTCAGAATTTTTTAATATGCAATTAAATATTTTTAGAAATCTACTTCTTATTTTTATTTGTAATTTAACACTTTTATTTTGTACAACTTGATAAAACTCTAAAAGTGATATTTAATGTTTTCTTCAAACATAAAAGAATCCTATATAAAATTTTGATAAATTGGCGACCCACCCTTTGACTAGGGTTTTTAATTGCGGCCCCCAACCTCGTGTAAGTTGGAAACCCCTGTTCTAGAATGTATACTAAAATAAACGCTGTATCATCTTATTAATAAAAACCCATTTATTACTTTGCGCATCCCCTGACTGGGACGAAATTAGTAAAGAACAAACCAAAAACTCAATGTATTCCAAAACAAATTACTATACTTAAAAATGAGTAGTATCCTTTATTTTAACTCTTAATGCACAACTCTTCACAAAAAAAAGCACAAAATTGCTCTGCAACTAACTACAATAGTACTTATAAAGCTGAAACGCTTAGATATATGCTATTTTATCTAGCAAACTTAACTACTTTATTACTTAACTGGTCATTATTCATTATTATACTTTGTTGCAACATAAGAAAAAAAATTTATATATATATATATATATATAGCATTTAAGTGCACGCCAAATTGGTGTCAATCTCCCAGTCAGAACGAATATCGAAACCGACAACTCTTGAAACAACGTTTCACTGACTTCACCATAAGACTTAGTGGTATTAGTGGTCCGATCAATTTTTATATAAATATATGTAACTTCATTTTCTACTGGTGAGATATTTTTAATACCTGTCAACCTCAAAACAACATCAAACACACCTAATTTTTTCGTAAAAGGGACTTGCTAACCACTTCTTAAATTTTATCACGAATTTTACTATTATAAAAACGTGAAATTGCGTTTCATGATGTGAAAGTAGTAAGAATAGGACTATTTCTCTATAATTCTCGTTGCTTTAACTAAAAAATTGAAATCGCAAACAATTCTTGTTTTTGTATCCGAGAAAATGGCTAAAACACACGCTTTGTAAAGGTCTGTGTAGCGGGAATAATTGGAATTGAGAAAACCTTTGCCTCGTTGTTGCATTAATAAGAGATACTTTTGACGCTTCGATGACCCTTTACAGTAGATGTGGTGGGTCGTTATAGAAACCTCCATCAAGCATCAACGATTCTCTACAAAAGGCCAGA